AACATCTCCAAACATTGTTTTGAAATCGTCATACGGTCGCACTTATCATCCACACAGTGAGCAAACGCGGCACTCATCTTGACGATAGCTTTTTCATACCCAATTGTTCGTGCAAAATTGAAATCACTGTGCCATGTGATATGCCTGTGGCCTCAACAAGCTCGCGAACTTTCACTCGTCGATCAGTCAAAACAATATCGTGGACTTTATCGATGATTTCTGGCGTAGCAGCCTCAATTGAACGTCCCGATGAACGAGGTGCATCACATGTGGATGTACGACCACGTTTAAATTCATTCACCTAATTGTATACAGTCTCAAACGCTGTTGCAGATGTGCTATGAACATTATCCAACTTGGCTTTGATTTCTTTCGGCGTTAAACGATCTTTCATATGTAGATGTTTGATCACTGCATGAAACTCGTTTTTTTCCATGTTGCAAAAAAATACAAAGGTTGTTTTGTTCGCTTTAATCGTCTACAGAAATGAAACCTCTCGATGAATTCCGCTCAAAATTTGACAGTAATCAGCTGAAAGATGCTACTTGTCAAAAAATAATGTAACATATGACACTGCAAGTGTCCATTGACAGATTTTCTAAGAACTTATTGACTTGCCTTCGTATAAATATTTTAAAGTACTCTTTGATTGATTCAGTAAAATTTAGTAAAATTCCTTCTTTTGATTGATCAATCAAACGCTTCTAAACATGTAACGAGAGTTTGACTGCATCCTAAATAACGTAGATATTGATTTACAGTAATATTTAAAATCAATCTTTAATTGAAGTCTTGTCAATTCTTTATATTAATATTATATAATATTACAGTATTTTTGCATTAGATATATTTTTATAGGACTATAGGAATAAATAAAAAAAGTTACTTTATAAAAGTAACTTGTTATTGCATTTACCATTCATTTTTCTGAAATATATTTATCGTTATTTGTTATTGCTTTAAAAAATAATTTGTTATCAATTACTCAAAAACTAAAATTTTATTTTATTTTATTTTTACGAAATTTTAATGGTATATTTTTAAAGTGACATACCAATTGCCTGTGTTAGTAATTAATATATCAGTTTAACACGAGATCTATTAATTCTAATATAAGTACTATGACTTTTTATGAGAGGTGGAGTGCAGTCCTAATAAAGATGACTATTAGGCGAATTCAAAATTACGACCATGGCAGTATACACTGCCAGTACTGAAAACCTATAGGTTATCATAACATAAACTATAGTTAATACGGTTATTTATATCAGAACACGATCTATATATCAATATTTACATTCTATATAAAAAAGATTTATATTATATCATTACTCTCTTTGACCTTCACCCGAACAGCTCCCTCTTATATTATATATATATATATAATATAAATGTTATATGTCTTAATTAGTAATTATTATTACAGTTATAAAAAATTACAACGTCATTATCAAATTACGTTATTATAATAACAAGTAACAGAATAGTAATTCTTGATCCATTTCTTTTGTTATTCCTCTTCTTCGTGACAAAGACATAATACATGATTTACATAAAAAAAATTTTGTTTTAAATACATCAGCATTGAAATAGTTTGCATCAAGTTTTTAAAAAGATATTTCATTGAACACCACTCGATGTATCAATGTATTTCCAGTAGTGTGAAACCAAACTCGTCATGCTTGTCATTGCGATATAACTATATCATCTGTTAATAATCTATCCCTGTTATGACCGAAATTTCTGGGTATTAATTGTCATCCCCAGATAATAATTGATAGACGTCACGTTCAGTTCGCGTATTAATTGCGTTACGTAGTGGTCGACATGTCGGTGCGCTATGTCGACAAGATTCAATTTTTTTAATTAAAATTTGGAGCGAGAAAATATAGTTACAAAAAGAGAATGACGCAATATTTAGAGAAAGTTAGAATTAAAAGATTTCATTATTAATAATTTATATATAAAAATATATCGAGATGCCAGTGCCACTTGAAATTTTTTTTTAAGAAAATGTCTAAAAAGTCGCTTATTTGTAAATCCCCTTGATTTACGATCGTCTTTTAAATCTGCCTGAAAAATGTTCTTATCTCTATTGTCTTTGGCAGAGTTGAGGAAGCGTTACTTTTTATAATAAACATGACGTTGCAATATTTTATAGCTAAACGTTAAGTCGACTTTGCCAACCTTAGCATAACCTTCGAGTTTAATTATAAAAAATTGCAACGTCATTATTAAATTGTTTATTATAAAAAGTAACCGAAAAAGTAACGCTTCCCAATTCTAGTCTTGTATTTCTTTAAAAATTTGCTAAATCTTTCAATAACATATTTGCGATGTAAGTGCAAATAAGTCTTCTGATAAAGGCTGCTATCCTGATGTGAGAATCGCGAGAGAGATAGCGGGGATAATCCGTCCGTTTATCTTCCTTAGCTACCGCATAATGGAAAGCTACTTATTTCCCTTTCGCGGTCAGATCGAGGATTTACAGCTGCGAATATGTAAAACTGATAGTCGGCCCGAATCGCGGATTTCGTTTCGCATTCTAAAAAGCACTCTGTAAGCGATATTTCGATAGGCGCTATTGATCGTCTAAAAGCGGCTTGAATTATTCACAAATCAAAGAGCACCAAAAATCTAATATTAAAAAAAATTAGGATAGGAAAAAATGTTCTTATAAAAATATAAAGGTCTGGAAATAAAAATACTTCAAAATTATGAAGTCTAAAATGCTAAAAATATGATAAAATATCAGAATTTTTTTTGATACAGTAAACAAACAATGAAGTAAAAATTAAAATATTTGTTATATAATTCATATTCACTTTATAACTCAGGAAACGTTTTTAAAACAGTTTTATTTAAATAATACAAAGATAAACGTGTAGAAGGTAATTTGCACATGTTGCTGCATGAAAATAATTAGATATATGTATTGGAAACATATCGCAGTTTTAAAAGGTTCTCCAGTTCTATCACATCAAATAAAAGAATTACTATAAAGGGTCTTGAATAAAGTAATGGCACTTACTTTTATTGTTGCCATATCATCAAGTTTTTCACAAATAACTTCAATGTATTTTTAAAATCCATATGTTATAGTTTATATTGCATTTAATTAATACAATATAGGCCACAGAATAATTAATCATTGACCTTCAAACAATCATTGACTCCGTTTCATTCATGATATATTGTTTTATAATTTGAAATATTTCGACCTATTTTTAACAAATGCAATTCACGATATATTAAGATACTTATATATTTGAATCAAACTTCCTTCTCTCGTCTCTATACAATTAATTTTTATAATATTTACACATTAATAATTTAATACAACATTGTGTAAATCCACAATCAGAACGTGCATAGAAAAACAGGAATTGAACATAGTATCCTTTGAAGAAATTTATTTCATAAACTTCTTTTCAACGAAAAGAACTTTAAAGGGAGAACTAAATACCACATGAAGTAGCGTAGTATATTGCAGTCTTTGGTGCATCTCTCTTTCATTTACCAACTTTACATCTATATTTGTACATCTCGTCTAAAAAGAAATACGCATAGACATGCAAAATGAAGTAAGACTTTAAAATCTTCAAAGATATTAAATATCTTTTTATATATGTGTTTTGAACACATACATTAATTTGTAAAAATATCCTAAAATCTTTTCATGTAGATAAAAATTCGTATTGCGTCTGAAAACCTGATTCTCTTATTGCTACTTGTCATTCCTATGTTACGAATCAAATGTATTAAATTTAGAATTAAAGTTTAAAGAGTTGCGATCTTACATGAAAAGATCACATCTCGGCCGAGCCATAAATCATGAAATCCGTATAACAAAATGTACAATAAAGTTGAACTTTTGAAGTTCCTTGAAAAATATATACAATTATTAATAAATTCCTATTTTTTTATGCACAGATGACGAATTTTTCTGACCATTTTCAACATAGATGGTCAACGTTTATGTGAGAATAAAATCTCTCTTTACATCGGAATTTCGTAATTATTTTCAACAATCACATATATATCGTATATACATATAATTATATTAATATATATATATATACACACACACATATATATATATATATACATATCAACTATTTGCAAAAACAGATAATTCATCATGAATCTTTAATACTATATTAGAACAATTATGAAAAAATTATTAGCAGGTGTCTATTATCTATCTTCAACCCAGATATGCCTGTTACTCTATATATAGATATCTATTCATGTTATTTATAATTAAGTGACACCGCAGCTTTGTTTTAGATACTCCATTCCCTCGTTTCATCTCACTCATCTCTACTCTTCATTTTATGCTGCATTTATGACAATTGTAACGTATCTTTCGATACAAATTTATTACTTATATTTGGAACCATAGAGAAAGACTTGCTACAACTACATGAAGGCACACATCTGGGTTAAACACAAATATATATATCCATATGTATTGTATTATGATAATACTTGTTTTCCCAAATTGTAATAATCTATAATCTCTAGAAATAAAGTTCGATAATTGTATTTGGATAAAAAGGTATTACAATATTATATGACGACATATATTTATAAAATATATGAAATAAATTATAGATTTTGTTAAAAAAATTAGTTAATATATACCAATATAATATGCACAAAACACTTAACAAAACAACCGTATACCTTTAATTCATATTGTTCCCTCTCCCATTTTTATGTTTATCATGGAGATCAATAGAGTAATGAACTGACTAAAATTGCTACATGTCAAGAAAATATACGATCCTTATAAGTATCGCACAATGTAGTAACAATATACATTGTTGAAAAAATAGTGTGTGTGATCTTAAATAATTCTAGGAAAAGGCAACGTGTACACATTATACATGGATTTAATAAGATTTTGCTAGATGGAAGAAAATGACTTATTTGCTTAATAAGTTCAGTCCATTACTATTATTTATGTAACATTTTTTATAGACTTTTTATCGTCATTAAACAGAGCTGATTTGAATAGAAGAACCAATGGACTCTGTTTCATTGTGTGCTCTTAAATTAATAGAATTTTCTATATTACTACCATCAGTAACGTCAGTCTCTCTACTTAACGCCAGTCTCTCGCCGTCGATCAACGCTACATTTGGATCTATTATGATTGCATTATTTTCTACATTATTTTTCTTTCGAATCGCACATCCATTAACATTTGCGTCGATTTCTGCTTGCTGTTCACTATTTAACATTGATAAACTCCCTTTAATACTCTCCTTCGACGTCGCTTGAGAGCCGAGCTTCTTCTCCTTCTCGGATGCGACGTGAGTATTTTTTGCTACTTTCCCTTCTTTCTCTTTAGGTTTTTTTCCGAGTACGGGGAAATTCGTGATCTTCGAAGCAGTCTTTTGATCCTTTGATTGTCTCATAGAACCAATACGGTTCGGCTCTGTTGATTCGGATTCCTCCATGATTGACACCAGGTTACCTTTACCCTCTCCAGTAGTATCATCTTTTATAACTTGTATTGGTATGTCATCTGAAGATAAAAAGATTGTTACTGTATTATAAGAAAAGAAACTTTTATCTTCAAGTTGGAATTGACAATAATGAAAGCAATATTAAAAGTTAACAAGCATCTTAGAGGCAAGGAAACACATATACATAATAATTCATTTAAATTACACATGTAAAATATGTATGCTATAGATACAATTTGTTTATGTTCACCTAGAACAGAAATTAATAAAATAGAACATTTAAATAGCATATTAATTGCACTGTGCATATGCAATAGAATAAAAAATTTTTTTCTTAACAAAGAAAGATAACAAGATTTATTTTGTAAAATGTGTCACATTCATTTTCTTTCTATTAATTATAAGTTAATAATACATATATTTATATTTATATTTATAGACATATTGTAAATAAGTGGATTTAAAACATTTAAGGAACATGTAGGTTGTGTAGAGAATATTTTACAACATTAGATATAGAAAATATACGCAATGCAGAAAATTATAATAAAAAAAAAGAAAGGGATAGATTGCAAAAGTAATATTTAAACAATAACAGTGAGAAACAGATAAAAAAGGAAAGGAACATCGAATACATGTTCTAGTCGAGCAATATACTTGAAATTCTTGGTGCGGGAAGATAAAAGTGCCATGTCGACATGCATGTTTTCCAGTCATGCGCTGGTTTCTGTTTAGATTTTGTTTTATGCGTATGTCTCATTATAGCTGGGAGTGGTATTTCTGAAAGGAATACATCCACGATCACATGAATTATTATAAGTCAACAACTCATTCCTGCGTGTGCGCTAGTGTATACCAAATGAAAATATAATATTGTAACTTTGATGAAGAATTATAGCGTGATAAGATTTACGCCATCCTACAGTGTTGTAACTGGAGTGATAATACCATGTGTTTGACGGCAGTGCAGCAGTGGCACAATAATGTATTAATCTACTGTTGCCTTCTGTATATACATTTTCCACCGATTCACGAATGATTTCTCCCAGAGCCTGTTCCTCTAACAAGCTATATAGATGCGCATTAGCTGCCAATCTATCATCGGAAAAAGTGGAGTCGCACATTACGTTACTCTCTTTTCTAGTTTTCTGACTAATATCATCCTTATTGTCGATAGCTGTTTTCTTTGATTGCTGATCTTTGCTCTTTTTAGGTGAGGACTTTATCGGTGAGCTTTGGCTGTTGCTGCATATACTTCCACGTCTAGAACTTTCCAATGAGGAGGAAGACTGCGCCTTCGCTGCGCCTGTATCCTTTTTATCGACCGAATTTGGAAGTGCATGCTTCCAATGCCATGGACGACGTTTGTGGCTGCTTGATACTGCCGGTCGCTGTTGTTTCTCGGCTTGACAATTGCTCAATTCGACCGCAAATAACTTCTCATCCAGATCGTCTAATGACATAGACGCGCAATCCACATTTGTTTGGACTTTTTATACGTATTATTACTTTCTAACTTATACATATTTTAAAATTTGATAATGTGCGAACTGGGTTCAACATTTTTACATATTATTATTTATGATAATATATTATACATATATGTATTTTATGATTTACGAGTTATTAAGGAAATCAAACAATACAAATGAGGGGAAAACATGAATAGTATACATTGTACGTGATTTTCCCGAAAATACGTGCAGTTACTGTATCAATATTGTTTGGACAACTATTCATTCATGAAACAAAATATTTTCAATTCAGCAATAATTTCATAAAACTTAGAGGATCACATGCAAGCTTGGACCTAAAGTACTCGTACTCGACACATTCATGTCCATGCATATATATCCGCTTGTGTATTATTTATGTTTGTTGCAATAGGAGTTGTGTAAAAGGGGTAGCTAATATTCAAACACACAATTATAATTTTATTTATATATGTTAGCTATTTGAATGGAAAATATAGCTATGATGTTAATATTGTTAGTAGTTTGGCACCTTCGTTTACCAGAGAAATATTCATCAATTATACAAACTTGTGTGAAACACAATACAAGATCTGTCGCAAAAGTATCCGATCTCTGAACATATCTTTATTTGTAGGCATCCTCCCTCCCTCTTTCTGTCTGTTTTCCACAATAGGATGCTCAAGGATATACGCAGAAATACTTTTGGGATAGACTTCATAATTATGTTTGATTTCGAACATAATCTTATAATATAAGATAGAAATTTTTCATTAGTGCCAAAAATATTAATAGAAATAAACATAAATATATTACCTTTACGAAATAAATTTAGATAATTTTAAAAGTCAGTATTTATATATTTTCTTAAAAAATGATTACAATTTATATTCTTCGTTATTGTTTCTGTCTCTACATTTACTTTTTATTACATGTCGTCGTAAAAAAATTAATAATTTATAATACATATAAATACAATATAAAAACATACCTGGTAATTTCTTAGTACGGAAGGAAGCATTTGTGATCATAGACTTCGAAATAGTTGGTGTAGTAGTTGCTGGGGACAACGCAACACTAATTCCAATTGGTCCATCGCTTGGTTGACCTAAATAAACAATAAAAAAAGATTATAAAATATCTTACCTTTATAAAACATCTTACTTCCACATCTAGCTTAAATAATATACATTATGCCTGTTTCTGTAATGGCAATTACCTGGTGCTCCAGAACTGGCAGAATTGCGTATAGCGTTGGTAACTAACATTACATTTGGATATGCTTCATAACATGCTCTGTTATGAACATCTTCTATAGCTTGAGTTCCTACATACCAACAATCGTTATACCTACAAATAAGGATATTATTAAGATACGTGTATATATTTATCTAAAAGATGTAATGCTAGCAAATTTAGTAATAAAATAGTTTAAATGCTATGCTTGGGCAGAATCAATATATTCATTAAAATATGTAATAAGAAAAATATAAATAACAGACTAAAATATTGTTAAATTTGCAAAATGCATATATTACATACATGGCAAAATATACAGCATGCAAGAATTCCAAGAGAAATTGGCTGGATACTGGTATACGTGGTAAAAGCCTTGGAACAAAGCTAGACTCACTGCCATATGAGGAACGTTGATGATGTCCTGGTTTCATAAATCCTTGAGTAACAAGTCTGCAATTGAGAAAAAAAATTACATTGCAATCGAAAATAAAACTAACAGTTTTCGTACAACTAAGAATTACAGTTGAACTTACTTTGTTGCAACCTTGCACAATTGTTCTAAAGCAAATTTATTTATATATCCAAGTTGTTGATTATAGATAAAAAGTAAGGCTGTCATAACTTTCAATCTATTTTGTGCATTTAATGTTTCTACTTGTTGCAACGGACCCCAACTCACAAGTTTTGAGTTACACTCTTCAAAACGACGTACGGCGCTTTCTGTTAGTGAGGCTGGTGCTAAACTCGCAGGCTGTTTCAAAAAATATTACATTAAATAATTATAAAATCTATAATAAAAAATGTAAAATAATTTGGAAATGGATATAGATAAATATATCTACATTAAATATTATAATTATTATATTACAAATTACAGTAAAATCTCGCTTAACTTCATTTAATGCTATTCCTTTACAGTAAGCTAACATTCGGTAAAATGATATTTCGCTGAGATGCAATTTTAAACTTGATGTTTGTTTAAATTCACTTTAAATATAGTAATACACTTAACTGAATATTGAATATCTGATAACATCTAATCAAAGTGCTAACGCTTTAAGTTCTAGAAACGTAAGCTGAACATTAATCAAAGTACTTACTACATATCTATTCATATAAAATGTACCTTCTATGGTTACTCTCTCTCTCTCTCTCTCTCTCTCTCTCTCTCTCT